CAATTTTTGAGTTGTATTTTATACAGTCCAGCACCATGAACAGTCGCCATTAATGGTGAGTGTTATAACAACTAAATTAAAAGCATAAATTCAGAGGCTTATCAATATATATGATTCGAAGTTTGCGGTGTTTCCGCTTATGACATTTTCTGATGCGCATATCTTTTTTTTAAACATGATGCCAGGGTACGGAAATGTTTATTATTGTCCCAAATCTTGAATTTCTGCGTGTTTTGGCGTGTTGTGCGAAGGTTGAAATGATTAGTTGCTAGGACTGTAGTACAACTTGTTTAAAAACGATATTGCTAATACCAAATGTCTGATGGGTGGGGTACACTTTCTTTCTCCGTGTTTTACAAATATAATGGCGTTGGCTGATGAATGTCTGCTTAGCGCTTGTTTTAACATAGCAAACCAAAGCGAAATTGGCCCCCTGTTTTTGAAAGAAGGATGGTTGGCTGCTAACATTTGCATGTAATGATTTGCAACTTTAGGAATGACTTATAAACAGAGGGGCCTGGGGTGGCAGTTCAAAGTGAAGAGCATGGACTGCTGTGGGCTATTTATAGGAGGTTCTGCACAGTGATTGGAGCATTGAGTTCTCTCTGGCGGGAAGCTAGGTGCTTCTGGAGTCATACCCAAAGCGAGCCTAAGGGGCGTAGCACTATGAAGTAGAACAGGTGAATGCACTTTTTCATTATATTGTAATATGATGAGCACCTGTTGCATTTTTTTTAACTGTCAACTTTCACAATTAACACATGGTGAAGAAAAAAAATCCACAATCCAAAACAAATATCTGCTACAGGGCCCTTAAAAAAAAAACTTTGAACTGTTTGAACTGACCTTTTGTGTAACAGCTACATTTTCAAAGTCCTCAATTTTTTCTCTGAAGCAGGATTTACTGTCCCAAAAAAGCTCTCCAATCTGCCAAAGACTTCCTGTACATTGATGTGAGATCTCCGTCATGTATTTGATCCAAAAGAACCTCCGTTTGTATCATGGAGAGCACAGACGACACACATTTGGGGTATGTTAGGTGCAGTGCGTAATAATACCCCATAAGATACAAGGCACCCTCTGAAATCTTGTCTTTTGGGAATGTGCATACCGGCTTGTTCCCAATTGCTACCAGACAGTTAGAAGGGCTCAACAACAGGACAGGGCTGGACAAAGGACGCTTCTTCAAGTAGGTGTTGGGGTCTTCTTTGTCCTTTGAAAACAAGAGAAAAAAATCTGACATGAGCAACTTAAAACTCAGCACAAGCACTTTCAGATTCCTGAACAACATTATTCCATAATTGTGCAATGCCTCCATGCTCACTCACATGTAATGTGTGACTGCTACCGTAATGGCCCTTTTAATTAGTTCTTCCAATATTCTTTGAACTGTTTGTTATTGAGGACTTAAATTTGAAAGCAACCAAGTGCATGTGTGTGACCATGGTGTGACCAAAAGAAAATAATAGGTTGTACCAGTATAAGTATGTGAAAACATTTGTTTAGAGCTGTGTGTAATAATATACATATATAATACATTTTAAAATCAGAATTTTATTGTAGCTTACCTGAAGCACGTGAAGTAAAGCTTCGCTGGCATCCTTCAACTTCTTTGGAGGTGCAGATGCAGAGGGAAAAAGGGATGGCAGGATGCGTAGGACCCATGGATGTATTATATTAACTGGATAGGGTATTACTAGCTTGTAGCTGAATAACTCATGTGCTCAGGGGATTCTCGCGGTACTGCAGACTGAACCAGACTAAATTCACGTGGGCTACCCAGAAATTTTCCCCATAGGACTCAATGCATATTAAAACAGCTCGACCTCAGCTGACAGAGAACCTACAGCTTTAATAAAGATAGGATTTTGTGGGGATTTTAGTGTCCCTTGTCATCCTGAACTTTTTTTCTTCTTAAATCCTTCGGTTTTGTTTAAATCCACACTTAAGTGCCACAAACTCTACTCCTCTGGCTCTCGCTCTAACTCCCGCTCTGATGAACTGCTCTGATTGGTCAGAGCGCGGCCGAGCCCCTCTGTGCACGTGCGTGAGACCCGGTGTGAGACCCACACACGCGTGTTTGACGCAACGCATTATGGGAGATCATCCACTGCGCAGAACCGGGAGGACCAGACGATGCCCAAAAACAGGCGAGTTTCCCATAGATCTTTGCGAGTTTCAGGCAACGTCCGCTAATCTTTTCAGCCCCCATGCCGTCACAAAGCGCCACTGAGCACAACCATTCATTTGAATAGGGCGCCATCTTGAATCGCCTGGGCTTGGTAGGACCTCGACAGCCTGATGAACTGAAACAAAGTAATTTTTCTTTAAAAAAAAAAAAGCCAAATAAGTGATCATACACTCAAAACGGGATTTGAAAGAATTGTAAATGCTTTAATTGCTACCTAATAAACCTACAAAGATCCTATTTATGTATTCTTATAATGTATTAACTGGTTGTGTGCCATTGACGCATAAAGACGTCAAAGCAAACAGTAACGTGCCATTAACGTATTAGATAGAATACGTCTATTCTATCTAATATTTATGGGGATTAGGCTTAGACCATATTTTATTGAGCCAGCAGGTGGCAGCAGCGCTGCGTAAACAAGATGCACTTTTTGTCTGAGACTGGTGATTTCAGTAAAACTTCCCTCTACTCAACTGGGGATTATAGGGGAACGAAACAAGCTAGTAGATTGGATTTCAGATCGTCATGTACACAATATTCTGTGGGTCTTGAAAAATCAATAAAACTCATTAGAAACTGCTGGCAATATGGGAGAACTTGTTCTGAAATAGGCTGGCATGCAATGGTTAAGAATCACATTGAAATTGGTCATTGTGCCATTCCTACAACACATTTTCGGGCCCTATAAAATACCATAAGATCTTATGCACCAGTCTTACTTTTAACAGATTAACACCTACCTATCCAGGGACAGCAAGTTCAAAGTTACATTTACTCTAACCTGAAACCTGGCATGTGCCATTTATTTTAGGCAATTGTGCAGTCCCGGAATCAAATAAAAGAACATTCTAATTCATACCTTCATCCATTCCCATTGGAGGCTTAAGAATCTTCTTCCACACACCCAGGAACTGCACCTTTTGGCAGAAGTCACGCCATCTTGCTCTTGTTTCCGAAAGGTATCTGCTGTTGTTACTGTCCAAAATGCGACGAAGCTCATCCATCACCTAAAAATGTATGTGACTAATTATTTGCAGAAAACCAAAACGCAATGTTCTCTAAAAATTCATTAACTTACATGTTCAATGTTCTTAAAACAAGGATAAGCATCCAGAATTACAATGTGCCTGCTCTCCTCTGGAACTGTATTAGAGTCCATAAAAGCTCGTCTGGCGGTGAACTCTAAATCCAGGAGGTGAGAGATGGTTTCTGGGTTTGGATTTCTTTTCTGAAACAAAGTTTGCAAGGTCTTGTAGTGTTTTGCCAAAACTGCTGGGCTGCTAGTGGGGGGACTGTTGGAGTCTTCTGGGGTGTTGACTGTTACACAAAGAAAAACAAAATGCCATGAACAATAGAACATTAAAAATATAATGTTCTGTACTGACACATAAACACAGAAAATTCAATAACTAAAAATATAACATTTCTAGGTTTTCCTGGAGTGCTTTTTTGGGGGGAGCTGATGTTCTGCAATCTTTTGTAGAGCTGTTTGTACACAGTGGTCTACAACAAACAAAAAATATGATACTTGAGTTAAAACAATACAATAGCACTGTAAACATATACAATTTAGTAATTACCCAAGGAGATCTTGCATCACGGTCTTCTAACATGGGATAATATTGTACCATTCGTTTAGCCATCAGAATAATTTCTGGTTTGTCCGGGTATTTTTTAGACTCTTCACATCCTGTTGCCCTCAGGATTGCGATCATACTTGTCATTGTGTTCCGGATAAGACGGCACCTGAGATCCCTGTTCATTTTGAAGTCGCCCTCTTTTCCAATTTTGGCTAACTCAAAGTACTTTTTGCATTCTTTGGCAACGTCCGTATCAACATACAATACATAGTCGGGACTAAGCAATTTCACCACTTTTGCAGGAGATCTGTAGTTAAAAGATGCTGCTTTCTCGGGTGTGGATGCCTTTGGTTGAGAATGATTCTTTGTACAACTGTCCGTTAGGTTGAAAGCCTCTTGCAGGGAACCCTTTAAAAAAGATCATCGAATTAAATTCCATACACTAGAGTGCACTCCAAAACAGATGTATCTGTGAAATGTTACTGGGCAAATTAGCCAAGCGCTATTCAGGAAGATAGAAACTACAAGTAGAGAAAGCCAAAAGCAGATATAATGTAAGACTGCAGTAGGGCTGAAACAACTAATCGATTAATCGACGACTAATCGATTATTGAAATAGTCGACAACTATTTTAGTAATCGATTAATCGTTTTCTGGTTCACACGGACTCAAACAGAGCAAAAATGACATGAAAATGTAGTATTTTTGATTAAAACCAACTTTTAAAAAAATAATTTCATGAATATCTGTCTGTCTCATCCAATCAGATAGCAGAATTAGCACAAAGAGCCTGTTACAAACATTTACTTTAAGTTTACGCCATCAATATGTCCTCGATTGTTGCCACTTTAGCTGATGAAAAAATACATTTTTTCTACACAATTCACAGCCAAGCAATTACTCGATTAATCGTAAAAATAATCGATAGATTAATCGATTAGATTAAAATAATCTTTAGTTGCAGCTCTAGACTGTAGAGCCATTTGGCTTGATGGGCGTACATGGCTTTAATTTGGAACCATTTTAGAGAATTTGTAAAGCCTTTGAAATAATGGAAGTACAATAATCAAAATGTAACATTAAAAAGCATGCAAAGCCATAATACGTTTTTATTGAAAACATTTTTTAGCTATACACAACAGTATTATCTAATCATGAAATATGAATTTAATCTCACCTCATCAAAAACACTATGACTTTGACACACTTGCCAGACTGCTTTTCTCCGTATGAAGTTTTCTGGGCCCGGGAAAAGGTCGTTCAGGTCCTCACGCGATAAGGTCCCCATCATCGCCTGGCTAATGTTACCCGCTGTGGGGGGAAAAATGGCGTGAGTCTAAAATAACGGTTTAAACAGCAATTAAAAGTGTTGTGATTTACAACTGCATAATGTGCAGTTCCAATGTAAACATGCCTATGAACGTATTATTTTGGCCAATAAAACAATTATATATTTTACCATTTAACGTTGAACTGGCAATCTCATCTAGCTTCTCCATGTCAAGCCGTTTTACGCCTGCTGCCTGCCTGGTAAGTTGCTGTCGTTTGCCGTAATTATAGCTGGTTAACACAGAACAAGTTATGATATAACGCTTTCCAGAGAAATTTTAAGTTACACAATTATCTATAAACAACTAAAAAGTTAATTTCTGACGCAACAAGCAACAAAAATTGCTCGCCTTTTTACTCTTCCCCTCACGACGTCCTGTCACTCCCGTGGTGAGTCCTGTATGTTTCGCGCTCAAGCCCAAGCCGAAGCTAGTTGACCGGTGGACGTGACCATTTCTAAAACCGGGGTGCGGTTACACGTATTTTTGATGCATGATACCTGACGCACATTGTAAATATATTGTGCGTTGTCTTGTATTTTACTACTTTGAAAATTAAGTTCGGTGCAAATGGATTCAGTTACCAAAATTACATTAATACAAATCACCCCCTTTTAATAGTTGGGACACTCTGCTTTGATTTGATCGTTATGTACAACATGCATATCCAAAGAAATACCTCGTTTGAATTTGAATCTGTCTTGTATTCCGGAATCTTGTCAGAAATTGAACAACTCAATTTATCAATATGATTTGGCGTTGCTTTATTTGTTGCGTTTTTATCGCGTTGACTCTCAAACAACTACTGAGTCACATTCACTCTATGCACAGTCGCAGTCCTGACTTTCGCCTTGTTTGCGGCATTGACGGCTGCCTCCGAGAGTACAGAGTGTACAACTCGTTTTACTACCATGTAAAGCGAACGCACACTCACCATCTTTTCCAAGTACAAGCTGAAGGAGGCGGGATGGCTACAGCCAGCCTTGGCCGAGCTGAGGAGGACGACGTTGCTGCGGTTAACACCGCGGAAGTACTCAACGAGGACGGTCAAAGTAATGGTTCAGAGGTAACTAGCATTACATAAACTGGTTGTTTGGCGCATATGTGGAATGTGAAAACTTTATCAGTAAACCCCTGTCTACTGTAGAGTATTCGGAGCAAGGCTCTGAATGCGCTAGCTTAACTAGCCTAGCCTATCTTAGCTAGCCAAGCTGGCCTGAGAGAAGTACAGTGCCTTGCGAAAGTATTCGGCCCCCTTGAAGCTGTCAACATTTTGCCACATTTCAGGCTTCAAACATAAAGATATAAAAATTATTTTTTTTGTCAAGAATCAACAACAAGTGGGACACAATCGTGAAGTGGAATGAAATTTATTGGATAATTTAAACTTTTTTAACAAATAAAAAACTGGAAAGTGGGGCGTGCAATATTATTCGGCCCCCTTGCGCTAATACTTTGTAGCGCCACCTTTTGCTGCAATTACAGCTGCAAGTCGCTTGGGGTATGTCTCTATCAGTTTTGCACATTGAGAGACTGGAGTTCTTGCCCATTCTTCCTTGCAAAACAGCTCGAGCTAAGTGAGGTTGGATGGAGAGCGTTTGTGAACAGCAGTCTTCAGCTCTTTCCACAGATTCTCGATTGGATTCAGGTCTGGACTTTGACTTGGCCATTCTAACACCTGGATACGTCTATTTGTGAACCATTCCATTGTAGATTTGGCTTTATGTTTTGGATCATTGTCCTGTTGGAAGATAAATCTCCGTCCCAGTCTCAGGTCTTTTGCAGACTCCAACAGGTTTTCTTCCAGAATGGTCCTGTATTTGGCTCCATCCATCTTCCCATCAATTTTAGCCATCTTCCCTGTCCCTGCTGAAGAAAAGCAGGCCCAAACCATGATGCTGCCACCACCATGTTTGACAGTGGGGATGGTGTGTTCAGGGTGATGAGCTGTGTTGCTTTTACGCCAAACATATCGTTTTGCATTGTGGCCAAAAAGTTCGATTTTGGTTTCATCTGACCAGAGCACCTTCTTCCACATGTTTGGTGTGTCTCCCAGGTGGCTTGTGGCAAACTTTAAACGAGACTTTTTATGGATATCTTTGAGAAATGGCTTTCTTCTTGCCACTCCTCCATAGAGGCCAGATTTGTGCAGTGCACGACTGATTGTTGTCCTATGGACAGACTCTCCCACCTCAGCTGTAGTTATCTGCAGTTCATCCAGAGTGATCATGGGCCTCTTGGCTGCATCTCTGATCAGTCTTCCCCTTGTTTGAAATGAAAGTTTGGAGGGACGGCCGGGTCTTGGTAGATTTTCAGTGGTCTGATACTCCTTCCATTTCAATATAATTGCTTGCACAGTGCTCCTTGAGATGTTTAAAGCTTGGGAAATCTTTTTGTATCCAAATCCGGCTTTAAACTTCTCCACAACAGTGTCTCGGACCTGCCTGGTGTGTTCCTTTGTCTTCATGGTTCTCTCTGCGCTTTAAACAGAACCCTGAGACTATCAAAGAGCAGGTGCATTTATACGGAGACTTGATTACACACAGGTGCATTCTATTTATCATCATCAGTCATTTAGGACAACATTGGATCATTCAAAGATCCTCACTGAACTTCTGGAGTGAGTTTGCTGCACTGAAAGTAAAGGGGCCGAATAATATTGCATGCCCCACTTTTCAGTTTTTTATTTGTAAAAAAAGTTTAAATTATCCAGTACATTTTGTTCCACTTCACAATTGTGTCCCACTTGTTGTTGATTCATGACAAAAAATTAAAATGTTATATCTTTATGTTTGAAGCCTGAAATGTGGCAAAATGTTGAAAGGTTCAAGGGGGCCGAATACTTTCGCAAGGCACTGTACACCCTTGGTTATATTTAGGGACCGTCAACATTTTACGTTACTTTTATTTTTCGTTATTATGAAAATGGATATATAAAAATAGAGGCTAAATGATACAATAAATCAAGAAATATGTCTAAAACATAAAAATGGAAGATTCTGACAGTTTTAGAATATTTAGCCATTATGGTTTTTTCCACTTTCATAATAGCAAAAAATTAAAGTAGCGTAAAATTTTGATGGTCCCTAAATATAAGCGAGGAAGTAACTGAGATAATACATGTCCGTTCTTCTCAGACCGGCTGACGGCCCCATGTCCAACCAACTTGACGGTTGAAAGCAGGGAGGACTAGTGCTTTATGTTGGGATATAAGAAATAAAATGTTTAAAGAAATACATTTTTTTTTTTATATGGTTGGTTGTAGGTATTAATTTGTGTAATTCCGTAAACATACAGTATGTTGGAAAGAAAATGTACAGTAAAAACACATCAAAAACAAAGAATGATGATGGGTTTTGAAGGCCTTAGATTTCAAATGAGGCCTAGGCTATAAGCTTCAGTCAAGAAACTTTTGAATGTGGGTAAAGTTGGAGAAAATGTTCTCGGTTAAGGGACATTTTTGGCTTGTTTAGCTGTTGATGAATCCATTAATTCTATTTATTACATTTATCTAATTTAGAGTGAAGCGCCTGCGCGTGTCAACACATTGGGAATCAATCTTTCTAAACAAGCAACAGCCTTCCTTCTACAAGCAAGAGAAGCCAATCGGCTGACACAGGTAATTATTTTTTAGACATCCATATTACATATCAAATAATGTTTAATTTTGTTCAATTCCTTTTAGCTTTTGTTTGTGTGTTTTCTTTTTTTCTACAGAGAGCTGTTAATCAAATGGTGACTGCGACCCAGCAATACCAGGCATCATTAGTGGAGCATCTGAGACTTCAGGTGAACCGTGTGTTTGAGCAGCATTCAGAGGACCTTGGTTCACTGAAGACTGAGGCGATGGCAGTATTTGATCAGTTTGCTGACCCCTTCAGTGAAATTTCTACAACCCACCTACAGGACAAGAAAATCAAAGAACTACTGCAACCTGTTGAACCAGAAGCCGTTATGTCAAAGCAGACTGTGAGTTATGCACAAAGTGGAGATGCGAGAGCCCTTGTCATCAGGGATCATTGTTTTCATTATATTCCACTTGTGAAAAGTTTAGAACAATTGCTATTGCATCCAAACATTCTTGCAATGATTGAAGCAGGTTCACAGCAGTGCAGTGAGGGATTTTTATATGATGTGTGTGATGGACAATTTTTTAAATCACACCCTCTGTTTATGAGAGAACCGACGGCAATGCAAATAATTTTATACACAGACGAAATTGAGTTATGCAATCCTCTTGGGTCTCGGGCAACCAAAAATAAATTGCTACTGATCTATAACACCTTGGGAAACATTGACCCTAAATACAGATCAAGGCTGTCTGCAATACGTCTGCTTGCTATGGTAAAATCAAAAGATCTTTCACACTGTGGCATTGACAAGATACTTGGGAGGATTAACTGTGACCTAATCAAGCTGTATGAAGGTGTGCCAGTGATGACTGCAAATGGAGAAAAGACAATTTATGGGGCAGTTGTGTCGGTGTGTGGGGATACTCTTGCCTAACATGAAATTGCTGGCTTTAAGGAGGGAGTAGGGTTTGCCTACAGAAAATGCAGACATTGTGAATGTGACTCTGAAAATATCCATGAACTATTTAATGAAGATTTGTTTGTTAAGAGGACAATGGCAAGTCATATTAGACAATGCCATGACATTGAAAGGGCTAGCACTGACTTTCTGAGAGAAAATCTAAAAACAACATACGGTATAAACAGGAGAAGCAAATTGACAGACTTTCCTCACTTTGATATAATCAATCAACGGCCACAAGATATCATGCATATCATTCTTGAGGGCGTTGCCCCATATGAAATAAAATGTACTTTAAAGCACCTTGTGACTTCAGGGCAAATGGACTTGGAGCAATTTAACAGTGCTCTCATTGCCTTTCCTTATTCTCCTGTGGATGTTCGAGATAAGTCATGCCCAATATCTCTCAGTACACTTCTATCTACAGATAATAAATTGAAACAGTCATCGGGGCAGATGCTGGTTTTATTAAAGATTTTGCCCTTCCTAATTGATTCAGTTGAGGAAAATGTTTATGTGAAATGTTTACTTCAGTTGTTGGAGTTTGTGAAAATAATTTTTTCACCTGTAATTGCTCTTTCCACTGTCTCAAGACTAAAGTGTTTAGTAGAGAAACATTTGCACAATTTCAGACGGCTGTTTCCGGAGTCAAGTATCATACCTAAGCAGCATTACCTTCTCCATATTCCTTCTCAAGTTAAAGCATTAGGTCCTTCAGTCAGGCATATGTGTATGCGTTTTGAATCAAAACATTGTTTTTTTAAACAGTGGGCTTTAAAAAGCAGCTTTAAGAATATATGTAAATCACTTCTGAAGCATAACCAACTCTATGAATGTTGTCAGAATGTACATGATAGACATCCCATCGTTTCACATGAACTAGAAATGGGTCCTGTTTCTGAGGTAAATCAGATTGCTTATGTAAAGGGAAAGCTTAAAGACTTTTTTGGAATAGAGCTAATTGATTATATCATTTCAGTGCCTTGGTTAGCGCTGCATGGAAATAAGTATAAGTGTGGGAAATCGTTGGTTATTTCTGGCGCCAACAATAATACTCCAGAGTTTGCCCTTGTGAAACATATATATGTTGTAAATACTTCTGTCTACTATCTTGAATGCCAACCTCTATCAACAGTGATGTGGAGTGATTGTTATTTAGCTTATGAGGTTGAGGTTCCCTTTGCAGCTCAAGCCAATATTTTTGTTGATGCTAGCAATCTTATTGATTACAGTCCATACTACTTTCTGACATTCAACAATAGGAAATACATTCCAGTGAAATATGATCTAACCGACATAATTGCACATCACACTACCAATGTAAATAACTGAGTCAAGCTGAGCTTACTGCTACCATTTGAGCATGTATACCTTTTCTGATCTTGACTGAAATGTACCATTTGCCTTTTAGTACATTTTATGCCATATTTGTTTGTGCACTACTTTTATGAACTCAGAATATTCTTACTTTTTTATTGTAGATCATTTTCTGTGTGAAGTTTGTCAATAAAAGATTGAATTTCAATCAAATTTGCTTGTATCTTGGCTTATTCTAGTTCAAATTGGACTTAAAATAAGATCTTTTAGTCTACAAAATATTTGAGATGTATCTTCTTAAAACAAGTCTTTACTACTTAATGATATTTCTTCGCAAGATAAATTGTCTTATTATACTTAATTTGAGCTGAAATGTCTTAAAATAAGACAAATATACTAAGACAAGATCTGCGTTTTTGCAGTGTGACGAGTATAAACCCCGGATCCTTCTCTGGGGGTAGTGATAGATGTGTTCAGTGTAGTACAGTTGTAGCTTTGGAATCCAGGGTTAGTGAGTGAGCTGAGTCTCGAGCTAGCGCTAGCATTAGCTACAGCCTAGCAGTATCCTCGGACAAGCAGCCATCCTCCTCTGCACACTGCTACACAGGTTGCTGTTGCTATAGGTCCCATTCAGATTGTACAGAGCAGTCAGCACCACTGACTTCACAGTGTCTGAGTCATTCTTTTAAGACATAAGCATTTTCAAAAACTACTCGTGCTGTGCTGAATTTTCTATTAAACACTCCGATATTATAATAAATCCATGCACCGCACCAGTACTAGTTACGCGTCACACGTAAATGACGTGGTCTGACAACGCTGAGGACATACTGGGGGTACTATTTTTGATGGAAAAGCACGCGAACTGCACCATGGCGCGCCGTGTAGGTTCATAACGTACCGTACTAGGACTGTGGAAAAGCGGCATTTGACTACCACCCTCCTGTCCCTCACCTCCTCCACAGAGTCCAGGGAGCAGCCCAGAGTGGAGGCTTGTTCCGTCTGCTCCTGTCCCGCTCTGTGCTGCCCGGAGCCCAGCACACGGCAGCGTAGTATAGGGCTGAGGCTACCACAGAGTCATAAAAAGTCCAGAGCAGAAGCCTTCTCACTCCGAAGGACCTCAGCCTCCTCAGAAGGAAGAGGCGACTTTGGCCCTTCTTTTACAGGGCGTTGGTATTATGAGACCAGTCCAGTATATTGTTAATGTGAACACCCAGGAGATAGAGGAGCACAGTCACACGGGAGGAGCTCGGAGTAGAGCCGCTGCTCCCTTAGAGATAGAGGATCTCAGTCACACGGGAGGAGCTCGGACTAGAGCCGCTGCTTCTCCACATCAAAAGGAACCAGTTAAAAATGAATGCATTTTTTCTGCTGCCGCCAAAGCCCTCTGGGATAATAAAGATACTTAGAACCGTCTAACATTACCCTTTGACATTCATATTGGATCAATAACACCATAAGTCTGGATCAAAGGCTTTCTGTCTTTAACATGTTTTATTTTGTTCCGAGGGTTGTCTCCAAATACATCGACTGTGATGCAACAGAGAAAGTTTCAAACTGGTCCAAAAAGTTGTTAATCCCGACGTTGAATCTGAGCTGGAGAAAATCCCTGAGATCTGTTTACGAGACGCAGATTTCCAATAAACACTTCTGCACAAACGAGACAGAGACGGGAAAAGTCTCATTTGGTTCGAGTAACTTTAGAAAGAGACTGTTTGAGCCACTGCCTCAAAATCAGAGAAAGATGGATTATTGGTTTAGTGATATACACTTGTGTTATTATCCATGGTTTTGTGAAGAACTTTGAGTCTCCCTGGGCATGAAGTGCGCTATACAAATAAACTTGCCCTGATTAAAGTGGGGTTCCTAACTTCTTCCTCTTGTTAAAGCTGGAGATTTACTTTTTGTGTTAAAGATGTTATTGTATTTTAGTTTAGAGTTATTGTTCATTTATCTCACTTATCTTGTTCATTATGCTGTGTGCTCCTCATTCTTCTGTAACGAGGCAACACTGACATTTCCCTGTGAGACCAATGAAGGATCACATCTTAATCTACTTCCTCTATCTCAAAACAGTTTGGTTCCATGCAAGGATTTTACATCACAGTATGTTTTATGGAAAGTATTCGAGGCCTGATTCTACTTTGCATGTATCATTATCTGTAATGTGCAAAGTTACGTACCCCAGCTTTAAAGTCACATTCAATTTTAAAAAGACACACCAACATCAACATTATAACATTATGACATTATAACAGGCTGTAGGGCTCGGACTCAGACTCAGAGTCGGGTTTGGACTCGGACAGGGGCTCGGGCTTGGACTAGGACTCATATTTGATTTTGCAGATTCTATATGGTATACAGTGCCTTGCGAAAGTATCTGGCCCCTTTGAACCTTTCAACATTTCGCCACATTTCAGGCTTAAGATATAAAATTTTAATTTTTTGTCATGAATCAAAAACAACTGGGACACAATCGTGAAGTGGAACAAAATTTCTTGGATAATTTAATGGCTATATTGATACCAACTGTCAGAAAGCAGGAGTTCCAGGGTTCCCAGGGTGCATTGAGCACTCGTCAATGATCTGGAACCAAATCCAGAGAGCCAAGAGGGAGAAGACCGACCTGCACATCGTCTGGCTCGACCTCGCCAACGCGTATGGATCAGTCCCACATCAGCTGATCAGCTACGCTCTGGATTTCTTCCATATGCCCCTCTGCATCAGGAACTTGGTAGCACTGTACTTCAGTGACCTGCAGATGTGTCTCGCCCTCCAGGACTTCACTACTGGGTGGCAACAACTACAGGTGGGAATTGCTATGGGATGTGCCATTTCACCAATTCTGTTTGTCGCAGCCTTTGAGATCATTCTCATAGGGGCAAGGCAGATGGTGGGAGGGATCAAACTTCCATCTGGCCAGAGGCTTCCCCCACTGAGAAGCTACATGGACGATGTTACTAGTCTCCTCCAAACAGCAGCATGTACATCTAGGCTGCTAAAAAGGTTTGACGAGTTGATGTCATGGGCCAGGATGAAGGTCAAGCCCGCCAAATCCCGTAGTTTGTCACTCAGAAGGGGAGTCATAAACAACAGCACCACCTTTGTCGCCGGGGGAG